AACCGTCTGGAAGGTCTCTACACTCCGATACAAAGACCAGGCGAGACCTGAAACCGTCTGGAAGGTCTCTACCCCGAAAACAAAGACCAGGCGAGACTGAAACCGTCTGGAAGGTCTCTAAAACTTCGATACAAAGACCAGGCGAGACTGAAAAACCCTCTGGAAGGTCTCTATACTTCGATACAAAGACCAGGCGAGACCTGAAACCGTCTGGATGGTCTCTATACTTCGATACAAAGACCAGGCGAGACCTGAAACCGTCTGGAAGGTCTCTACACTTCGATACAAAGACCAGGCGAGACCTGAAACCGTCTGGAAGGTCTCTATACTTCGATACAAAGACCAGGCGAGACCTTCCTAAACCGTCTGGAAGGTCTCTATACTTCGATGCGAAGACCAGACGAGACCTGAAACCGTCTGGAAGGTCTCTACACTTCGATACAAAGACCAGGCGAGACCTGAAACCGTCTGGAAGGTCTCTATACTTCGATACAAAGACCAGGCGAGACCTTCCTAAACCGTCTGGAAGGTCTCTATACTTCGATGCGAAGACCAGGCGAGACCTGAAACCGTCTGGAAGGTCTCTACACTTCGATACAAAGACCAGGCGAGACCTGAAACCGTCTGGAAGGTCTCTACACTTCGATACAAAGACCATGCGAGACCTGAAACCGTCTGGAAGGTCTCTACACTTCGATACAAAGACCAGGCGAGACCTGAATCCGTCTGGAAGGTCTCTACACTTCGATACAAAGACCATGCGAGACCTGAAACCGTCTGGAAGGTCTCTATTTAGTTCGATACAACCGCCACAGAAGTATGGAGGCAAGATTTACAGAAAGGGATTTACACAAAATTTACAGATGAAGTGGATTTACACAAGAAGATTTACAGAAGTAAACACTAGGAAGATTTACAGACGATTTACACATGAGAACCGACACATGATTTACACAAGAGAAGGATTTACATTAGAGGATTTACAACTGGGGAAGATTAAGGACTATAAGACACAAAAGAGGATTTTAAGTGGATTTAAAGTGGCAGCTTAAGTGCAAATGCAGTGGATATAAATCTAGATTTACAACTTACAAAACTAAATATATTTTTTACAACTCCTAAGAATGTAAATGATCATTTACAGTGTACTGTTATGTGCAGTGTACTGCTGTGTACAGTGTACTGCTGTTATGTACAGTGTACTGCTATGTACAGTGTACTGCTGTTATGTACAGTGTACTGCTGTTATGTACAGTGTACTGCTGTTATGTACAGTGCCAATTTACAAGGTGGTTAAGAGGTGAAGATAAGTGCCAAGTGAAGCGTGACAGTTCAGTCTCAGGCACTGGCAGGCACTGTGAGATAAAGTGAGGCAGTGCCAGGCACGGTGAGAGGTACACTGAGGCACTGCCAGGCACTGCAATGCACTACCAGGCACTGAGATACAGTGAGGCACTGTGAAAGGTACAGTGAGGCACTAACAAGCACCGTGACGCACTACCAAGCACTGTGAAGTACAGTGAGGCACTGCCAGGCATTGTGAGAGGCACAGTGAGGCACTGTGAGGTACAGTAAGGCAGTGTGTCAAGCACCGTCAGTACAGTGAGGCGGTGCAAGGCACTGTCAATACAGTGAGGCAGTGCCAGGCACTGTGAAGGGCTCCTAAACAGTGCCACACTTTGAGGAATGGGTGGTGATGGGGAGGGAGCCAGGAACACAGGTGATGGGGAGCCAGGACACACAGGTGATGGGGAGCCTGGAACACAGGTGATGGGGAGCCAGGAACACAGGTGATGGGGAGCCAGGAACACACAGGTGATGGGGAGCCTGGAACACAGGTGATGGGGAGCCAGGAACACAGGTGATGGGGAGCCAGGAACACAGGTGATGGGGAGCCAGGAACACAGGTGATGGGGAGCCAGGAATACAGGTGATGGGGAGCCAGGAACACAGGTGATGGGGAGCCAGGAACACAGGTGATGAGCCAGGAACACAGGTGATGGGGAGCCAGGAACACAGGTGATGGGGAGCCAGGAACACAGGTGATTTTGGAGCCAGGAACAAAGGTGATGGGGAGCCAGGAACACAGGTGATGGGAAACCCGGAAACAGGTGATGGGGAGCCAGGAACACAGGTGATGGGGAGCCAGGAAACACAGGTGATGGGGAGGGAGCAAGGAACACAGGTGATGGGGAGCCAGGAACACAGGTGATGGGGAGCCAGGAACACAGGTGATGGGGAGCCAGGAACACACAGGTGATGGGGAGCCTGGAACACCCGGTGATGGGGAGCCAGGAAACAGGGGGATGGGGAGCCAGGAACACAGGTGATGGGGGGCCAGGAAACACAGGTGATGGGGAGCCAGGAATACAGGTGATGGGGAAACCAGGAACACAGGTGATGGGGAGCCCGGAAAAACAGGTGATGGGGAGCCAGGAACACAGGGGATGGGGAGCCAGGAATACAGGTGATGGGGAGCCAGGAACACAGGTTATGGGGAGCCTGGAACACAGGTGATGGGGAGCCAGGAATACAGGTGATGGGGAGCCAGGAACACAGGTGATCTGGAGCCAGGAACACAGGTGATGGGGAGCCAGGAACACAGGTGATGAGCCAGGAACACATGTGATGGGAACCAGGAACACAGGTGGGTGGGGACCGGAACACAGGTGATGGGGAGCCCGGAACACAGGTGATGGGGAGCCAGGAACACACAGGTTATGGGGAGCCTGGAACACAGGTGATGGGGAGCCAGGAACACAGGTGATGAGCCAGGAACACATGTGATGGGAACCAGGAACACAGGTGATGGGGAACCAGGAACACAGGTGATGGGGAGCCAGGAACACAGGTGATGGGGAGCCAGGAACACACAGGTTATGGGGAGCCTGGAACACAGGTGATGGGGAGCCAGGAACACAGGTGATCTGGAGCCAGGAACACAGGTGATGGGGAGCCAGGAACACAGGTGATAAGCCAGGAACACAGGTGATGGGGAGCCAGGAACACAGGTGATGAGCCAGGAACACATGTGATGGGAACCAGGAACACAGGTGATGGGGAACCAGGAACACAGGTGATGGGGAACCAGAAACACAGGTGATGGGAGCCAGGAACACAGGTGATGGGGAGCCAGGAACACAGGTGATCTGGAGCCAGGAACACAGGTGATGGGGAGCCAGGAACACAGGTGATGAGCCAGGAACACATGTGATGGGAACCAGGAACACAGGTGATGGGGAAAACCCGGAACACAGGTGATGGGGAAAACCCGAAACACAGGTGATGGGGAACCGGAACACAGGTGTAGGGAACCAGGAACACAGGTGATGGGGAGCCAGGAACACAGATGATGGGGAGCCAGGAACACAGGTGATGGGGAGCCAGGAACACAGGTGATGGGGAGCCAGGAACACAGGTGATGGGGAGCCAGGAACACATGTGATGGGGAGCCAGGAGCACAGGTGATGGGAAGCCAGGAACACAGGTGATGGGGAACCAGGAACACAGGTGATGAGGAGCCAGGAACACAGGTGATGGGAGCCAGGAACAAAAGGTGATGGGGAGCCAAAGGAACACATGTGATAGGGAGCCAGGAACACAGGTGATGAGGAGCCCGGAATACAGGTGATGGGAGCCAGGAACACAGGTGATGGGGGAGCCAGGAAAAACAGGTGATGGGAGCCAGGAACACAGGTGATGGGGAACCAGGAACACAGGTGATGGGGAGCCAGGAACACAGGTGATGGAGAGCCAGGAACACAGGTGATGGGGAGCCAGGAACACAGGTGATGGGGAGCCTAGAACACAGGTGATGGGGAGCCAGGAACACAGGTGATGGGGAGCCAGGAACACAGGTGATGGGGAGCCGCCAGGAACACAGGTGATGGGGAGCCTGGAACACAGGTGATGAGGAGTCAAGAACACAGGTGATGGGGAGCCAGGAACACAGGTGATGGGGAGCCAGGAACACAGGTGATGAGCCAGGAACACATGTGATGGGGAACCAGGAAAACAGGTGATGGGGAACCAGAAACACAGGTGATGGGAGCCAGGAACACAGTGATGGAGAGCCAGGAACACGGGTGATGGGGAACCAGGAACACAGGTGATGAGGAGCCAGGAACACAGGTGATGGGGAGCCAGGAACACAGGTGATGGGGAGCCAGGAACACAGGTGATGGGGAGCCAGGAACACATGTGATGGGGAGCCAGGAGCACAGGTGATGGGGAGCCAGGAACACAGGTGATGGGGAACCAGGAACACAGGTGAGGGGAGCCAAAGGGAAAACATGTGATGGGGAGCCAGGAACACAGGTGATGGGGAACCAGGAACACAGGTGATAAGGAGCCAGGAACACAGGTGATGGGGAACCAGGAACACAGGTGATAAGGAGCCAGGAACACAGGTGATGAGCCAGGAACACAGGTGATGGGGAGCCAGGAACACATGTGATGGGGAGCCAGGAACACAGGTGATGGGAGCCAGGAACACAGGTGATGAGGAGCCAGGAATACAGGTGATGGGAGCCAGGAACACAGGTGATGGGGAGCCAGGAACACAGGTGATGGGGAGCCAGGAACACAGGTGATGGGGGGGAGCCAGGAACACAGGTGATGGGGGCCCGGAACACAAGTGATGGGGGAGCCAGGAACACAGGTGATGGGACCAGGAACACAGGTGATGAGGAGCCAGGAATACAGGTGATGGGAGCCAGGAACACAGGTGATGGGGAGCCAGGAACACAGGTGATGGGGAGCCAGGAACACAGGTGATGGGGAGCCAGGAACACAGGTGATGGGGAGCCAGGAACACAGGTGATGGGGAGCCAGGAACACAGGTGATGGGGAGCCAGGAACACAAGTGATGGGTAGTACTACAGGACCTACACACACACACACACACTAGTAACGGGATGCTTCATGCTATGTCACGCCCACGCCCACACGCACGCCGTGGGCGTGGCAGGGCGGGTAGCGGGTAGCGGCTAGCAGGGTACCTGACAGGTAGCGCCGTTCGTGAGTGGTGATACTGCGGTGTTCACTGCTGCGGCTGCGGCTCCCGGCACCGCTGCTGTGTTGCGCGTACAGCGCAGCCTGCGGGCATGCTGCGCAGGCAAGGGAATGCCGTTAGTTAACCAAACATATACACTCCCTTACACACATGTTGACACAAGGGCAATGCTGTTAACAAGAGGAATGCACTAGGCCTACTGGCCCATGCTGGGAAGGTTCAACTCACACTCAGCAGGTTCAACTCACACTCACTCAATTTCCCTGTCTAACCTAATTTTGAAATAATCTACTCACTGTTGTATATCGTCAAGTTCTCAATGAGTTTCGCGAGTTTTTCTATTCCCTGTCATTGGCCAGGCTGGTCTGGTGCTGGCCAGGCTGGTCTGGTGCTGGCCAGGCTGGTCTGGTGCTGGGGCCAGGCTGGTCTGGTGCTGGCCAGGCTGGTCTGGTGCTGGCCGGCTGGTCTGGTGCTGGCCAGGCTGGTCTGGTGCTGGCCAGGCTGGTCTGGTGCTGGCCAGGCTGGTCTGGTGCTGGCCAGGCTGGTCTGGTGCTGGCCAGGCTGGTCTGGTGCTGGCCAGGGGTGGTCTGGTGCTGGCCAGGCTGGTCTGGTGCTGGCCAGGGTGGTCTGGTGCTTGCCAGGTGGTCTGGTGCTGGCCAGGCTGGTCTGGTGCTGGCCAGGCTGGTCTGGTGTGGCCAGGCTGGTCTGGTGCTGGACAGGGCCCGGTCTGGTGCTGGCCAGGCTGGTCTGGTGCTGGCCAGGCTGGTCTGGTGCTTGCCAGACCAACCTGGTCCATGTAACAGCCTGGTTGGCCAGGCTGTTGCATGGGCTGTTGGTGGCCCGCTGCCTATATATCTATCAAAGCCTCGATCATCTGGCATTTGGTGTTGGTATTTGTCTAGTTACTTTTTAAAGATTTTATTGTTCCAACAGTGTTTCTTCTTGAGGACTTCTGTACTTGTTCCAGCAGTGTTTCTTCTTGAGGACTTCTGTACTTGTTCCAGCAGTGTTTCTTCTTGAGGACTTCTGTACTTGTTCCAGTAGTGGTTTTTTCTTGAAGACTTCTGTACTTGTTCCAGCAGTGTTTCTTCTTGAAGACTTCTGTAAATTGTTCCAACAGTGTTTCTTCTTGAAGACTTCTGTACTTGTTCCAGCAGTGTTTCTTCTTGAAGACTTCTGTACTTGTTCCAGCAGTGTTTCTTCTTGAAGACTTCTGTACTTGTTCCAGCAGTGTTTCTTCTTGAGGACTTCTGTACTTGTTTCCAGCAGTGTTTTTCTTCTTGAAGACTTCTGTACTTGTTCCAGCGTGTTTCTTCTTGAAGACTTCTGTACTTGTTCCAGCAGTGTTTCTTCTTGAAGACTTCTGTTTCTTGTTCCAGCAGTGTTTCTTCTTGAAGATTCTGTACTTGTTCCAGCAGTGTTTCTTCTTGAGGACTTTTGTACTTGTTCCAGCAGTGTTTCTTCTTGAAGACTTCTGTACTTGTTCCAGCAGTGTTTCTTCTTGAGGACTTCTGTACTTGTTCCAGCAGTGTTTCTTCTTGAAGACTTCTGTACTTGTTCCAGCAGTGTTTCTTCTTGAAGACTTCTGTACTTGTTCCAGCAGTGTTTCTTCTTGAAGACTTCTGTACTTGTTCCAGCAGTGTTTCTTCTTGAGGACTTCTGTACTTGTTCCAGCAGTGTTTCTTCTTGAAGACTTCTGTACTTGTTCCAGCAGTGTTTCTTCTTGAGGACTTCTGTACTTGTTCCAGCAGTGTTTCTTCTTGAAGACTTCTGTACTTGTTCCAGCAGTGTTTCTTCTTGAAGACTTCTGTACTTGTTCCAGCAGTGTTTCTTCTTGAGGACTTCTGTACTTGTTCCAGCAGTGTTTCTTCTTGAAGACTTCTGTACTTGTTCCAGCAGTGTTTCTTCTTGAAGACTTCTGTACTTGTTCCAGCAGTGTTTCTTCTTGAGGACTTCTGTACTTGTTCCAGCAGTGTTTCTTCTTGAAGACTTCTGTACTTGTTCCAGCAGTGTTTCTTCTTGAAGACTTCTGTACTTGTTCCAGCAGTGTTTCTTCTTGAGGACTTCTGTACTTGTTCCAGCAGTGTTTCTTCTTGAGGACTTCTGTACTTGTTCCAGCAGTGTTTCTTCTTGAGGACTTCTGTACTTGTTCCAGCAGTGTTTCTTCTTGAGGACTTCTGTACTTGTTCCAGCAGTGTTTCTTCTTGAACACTTCTACACTTGTTCCAGATACACCTTTACCTTTGATATACCTTAGACGAGTTTCGAGTTTCACTACACTCGCAGCCCGGCCATGGGTCAGGCTCGTCTGGTGATTGCCTATTTAAGCAGGATGCTCCTGCTGGAGGCTCGCTGTCCCACACATCCATCACAGTCTGGTTGATCTGGCTTCTACACTTGTTCCAGCCATGTTTCTGATATCTTCTCGTAAGATGATGAATAGTCTAGGACTACGAATATTGATACAGTGTTCCCTTATTGTGCCCACCGCACCCCTGCTCCTCACTGGGTTTATTTTACACTTCCTCCCATATCTCTCACTCCAGTATGTTGTTATGGCAGTGTGCACATTTGGCACCAGACCCTCGAGTACTTTCCAGGTATATATTATCATGTATCTCTCTCTCCTCCGCTCCAGTAAGTACATGTTCAAAACTTGAAGGTGTTCCCAGTAATTTAAATACTTTACTGGCTCAATGTGAGCCATAAAAGATCTCTATATTAGTTCCAGCTCTGATATTTCTCCTGCTATGAACGGGGTCGTCAACACTGAACAATATTCTAAGTGAGGGAGCACTAGTGATCTATAAAGTGTCACCAGTGGCATTATTTCCCTTGTTTTGAAAGTTCTCAATACCCACCCAGTGATCTTCCTGGCTGTCGTGATCTTTGTCTTGTTATGGTCTTCAAGAGAAAGGTCAGCTGACATAATTATTCCCAAGTCTTTCACGTGTTCCTATCGTTCTATTTAGTGATCTTATTGAGTTTTGTATATAGTGTAGTGTTCCTTTTGAAGTCTTCACTCCTTCCTCATTTTGTGCGCTATCACTCCATGATCGCATTTGTCAAGACACCTTTGCAAAATGTGTGTAAATCACATCTGTGTTTCGGTCGTCTTCCAGTGCCCCGTAATTGTGTCATAATGGTTCGGCAGCTGTGACAGACATGATCGTCCTGCTGTAAAACCATGCTGGTTCAGGTTATGTTGGTTGTGCTGCTCCATGAAATTTGTATCCTGCCGTCTCATCACTCTTTAAGGTCTCTGGTATTTCACCTAGATCTAGGCTATTTCTATGATGTCAGTTGGTCTGTGCAGCCTTCCTCTGGAATGAAAAATATTTCTGTATTTTCTACCTTGTTGTCATTTAGTGGGTTGCTGAACACCGACTCATACTGTTCTTTTAGGATTTCGTTCATCTTCTGTTCATCGTCAGTATACGAGTCTCCTCTCAGTAGTGGTCCAGTTCTACAGGCAGTTCTTAACTTGGATTTTGTATAGGAATAGAAATATTTTATGTTTGTTGCAATATCCTGTATGACCCTTTGTTCCCTTTGTACTTCTTCTGTTAGTTACGACCAATATCCTGTATGACCCTTTGTTCCCTTTGTACTTCTTCTGTTAGTTACGACCAATATCCTGTATGACCCTTTGTTCCCTTTGTACTTCTTCTGTTAGTTACGACCAATATCCTGTATGACCCTTTGTTCCCTTTGTACTTCTTCTGTTAGTTACGACCAATATCCTGTATGACCCTTTGTTCCCTTTGTACTTCTTCTGTTAGTTACGACCAATATCCTGTATGACCCTTTGTTCCCTTTGTACTTCTTCTGTTAGTTACGACCAATATCCTGTATGACCCTTTGTTTTCCCCTTTGTACTTCTTCTGTTAGTTACGACCAATATCCTGTATGACCCTTTGTTCCCTTTGTACTTCTTCTGTTAGTTACGACCAATATCCTGTATGACCCTTTGTTCCCTTTGTACTTCTTCTGTTTTGTTACGACCAATATCCTGTATGACCCTTTGTTCCCTTTGTACTTCTTCTGTTAGTTACGACATCGTAAGTTTGTGCTCTACTTCAGTGATCTCTCAGCTAAGACAATCTTTACTCTGTTGCGACATATTTGTGTTTGTAAGCAATTCAGTGACCCGTTTTCTTCTTCTGTACCATCTCCTACGATCTCTATGTCTGATCTTCTGTACCATCTCCTACGATCACTATGTCTGATCTTCTGTACCATCTCCTACGATCTCTATGTCTGATCTTCTGTACCATCTCCTACGATCTCTCTCTATATCTGATCTTCTGTACCATCTCCTACGCTCTCTATGTCTGATCTTCTGTACCATCTCCTACGATCTCTCTCTATATCTGATCTTCTGTACCATCTCCTACGATCTCTATGTCTGATCTTCTGTACCATCTCCTACGATCTCTCTCTATATCTGATCTTCTGTACCATCTCCTACGATCTCTATGTCTGATCTTCTGTACCATCTCCTACGATCCTCTCTCTATATCTGATCTCTGTACCATCTCCTACGATCTCTATGTCTGATCTTCTGTACCATCCCCCTACGATCTCTCTCTATATCTGATCTTCTTGTACCATCTCCTACGATCTCTATGTCTGATCTTCTGTACCATCTCCTACGATCTCTCTCTATATCTGATCTTCTGTACCATCTCCTACGATCTCTCTCTCTGTCTGATCTTCTGTACCATCTCCTATGCTCTCTATGTCTGATCTTCTGTACCATCTCCTACGATCTCTATGTCTGATCTTCTGTACCATCTCCTACGATCTCTATGTCTGATCTTCTGTACCATCTCCTACGATCTCTCTCTATATCTGATCTTCTGTACCATCTCCTACGATCTCTCTCTATATCTGATCTTCTGTACCATCTCCTACGATCTCTCTCTATATCTGATCTTCTGTACCATCTCCTACGATCTCTCTCTATATCTGATCTTCTGTACCATCTCCTACGATCTCTCTCTCTGTCTGATCTTCTGTACCATCTCCTATGCTCTCTATGTCTGATCTTCTGTACCATCTCCTACGATCTCTATGTCTGATCTTCTGTAC